CTCCCACCGCCACCCCCACTCCCTCCGCCACCGCCACTGCCACCTCCACCGCCCCCGCCAGCTCCACCCGCGCCCTTGCCCCCCTTGCCCTTGCCAGGGCGGCGTCTCCCGCTAGGGGCAGACGCTCCGCCGACCGACTCAAGACCAAGCAGGTCGGCAGCAGCAGCAGAGGCAACAGAGGGCAGCAGGGGGGAAGGAGAACACCCCTCAAAGATGAGGGTGCGCAGGTCACCACGAGAGGGTCCTACAGCGACTATGCTCTTTTCCGCCGCTAGGAGGGCCTTCTCGAGGAGGTCGACAGTGAGGGTGGTGGGACAGACTGAAAGGAAGTGGTCCCTGACTACGCGAAGGGAGTCAGGGAGGCGAGTGACTATGTAATAGAGAGCGATGTACATGGGGGGGGGGTTCTTGGCGCAGAACTCAGCAGGAAGTGCGGCGCGGTAGCGAGTGTCAGAAGTGCGGTGGTGCGTGATGAGGTCAGCGACTGTAGGAAAGGCAGCAAGGTCAGGAAAGAGGTACGGTAGCATGAGGCGGCTCAGTGCAGCAGTGGCAGGGGAAGAGTAGCGCGCAACTACAGCGTCGTACAAGGTCTGAGCACTCTTGTACTGACTAAAGTGCGCGCGCTCAGTGGTAGGCAGGTGGCGACGCACAGCAAGACGTGCACCAGCATCGCGGGTGGCCCACTGAGAGCGAACAGTGGGGTCAGCATCAGCAGCAGGAGCAGGGGAGGCGCCAGAGGTGAGGTCAAAGAGAGAAAGACCGTCCGCCCTATCGCACTGTAAAAACAGCTGCAGGTCGTCGACCCAGACTTCAAAGTCAATGGCTCGACCCTCAGCGTCAAAAGCGAGGACACTAGGGGTAGCCATGACGACAGACTAGCAGTGCAAGCAGTGGGGGAAGGGCACGCAGTAGCAGTGGGGCTGTGCTCACCAGACAGGGCAGGTCGGGCGGCTCGGCAGTAGTGCGGCTCGGCTGCGGGGCGGCTCGGCGGTACTGCGGCTCGGCGGCTCGGCGGCTCGGCGGCGGCTGCTGGGCGGCTCGGCTGTACTGCGGCTCGGCGGCCCGGCGGCTCGGCGGCTGCTGCTGGGCGGCTCGGCTGAACTGCGGCTCGGCGGCCAGGCGGCCCGGCGGCTGCTGCTGGGCGGCTCGGCTGCTCCGGTACTGGGCGGCGTGGCGGGCGGGTGCTCGGGCGGCTCGGCAGGACGGGAGACCGGCGGGGCCGCGAAGGTGAGGCGGCGGGGCCGCTACGTGAGGGCGGCGGGGCCGTGAAGGTGAGACGGCGGGGCCGCGACGTAAGGGCGGCGGGACCGCGTAGGTAAGGGCGGCGGGGCCGCGTAGGTAAGGGCGGCGGGGCCGCGTAGGTAAGGGCGACGGGGCCGCGAAGGTGAGGGCGGCGGGGCCGCGAAGGTGAGGGCGGCGAGGCCGCGAAGGTGAGGCGGCGGGGCCGCGACGTGAGGGCGGCGGGGCCGCGACGTAAGGGCGGCGGGGCCACAACGTGAGGACGGCGGGGCCGCGACGTGAGGGCGGCGGGCCCGCGACGTGAGGGCGGCGGGGCCGCGACGTGAGGGCGGCGGGGCCACGACGTGAGGGCGGCGGGGCCGCGACGTGAGGGCGGCGGGGCCGCGACGTGAGGGCGGCGGGGCCGCGACGTAAGGGCGGCGGGGCCGCGTAGGTAAGGGCGGCGGGGCCGCGTAGGTAAGAGCGGCGGGGCCGCGTAGGTAAGGGCGGCGGGGCCGCGTAGGTAAGGGCGGCGTAACGGACCGCTAGGGGCGACACGGAGGGTCGCTAAAAAAAAAAGAACGCGCGCCTCGGGGCGCGCTTCGGTGGGCCCTGGGAACAGTCCCTAGGAGGGGACCTGCTCTGATTCCATGTGAAAGAGTGAACGCGAATGAATGAACTATGAGTGAAGTGGGTACAAGTACTAACCCTAATTGGGTTGTACCCCCTATGGGATACCCCAATATAGCCTACACAAAAGCATAAGCTATAATGTTCTGACATTAACTTCATTTGATGTTCAAAATAGAATCACTTATGGTGGTGGCATGTGAGTGACACAAAAATGGGCTGGCACCCTTATTATGTCATTAATAACTCAGTGGTGGTAAAAAACATTGAAAAAAAAAGGTACCACGCAGCGTTGAATCGATATCGTCTCCCATCATGCGACTGCCATTGAATTAGGTTGACAGCCTTCTCATATCATCTAAGACTTAGTGATATGATTAAATCTTGCAAAAAAAAAAAAAAAAAAAACACAGCGTTGAAACGGCATAGTGAGTCGTGATCTTTTACTATTACCGTAGTTGGTGGTAGAACAATTTAGTGGTGAATTTAACGTCCCAACGATCATAACAGACAATTTCTATACTTTATCATGTAATTTAAACTGATAAAAGTGCTGGGTGACAAGTAGGACCTAAAAAATGCATGTCTAAGCATTCAAAGCTCTTTACTATTTTTGAAAAGGCACATTTCAACAAACAACTTCCATCACAAATTTTTCTGGATGCACAGTAACGGAGAACATCTTTAGTGGGACCAGTTTTGTGCCAAACCATTCGCAAGCCGCTGCTTCTTGGAAGGAGTACATCAAAACTCAATTCTTACAGAGCAGTAGGTTTGAACCTAGCGACCAATAGCAATCGCCCGAATGGTTTGTTGGAAGTTTCCTGGATGAAGTCGAAATGGTTCGACCAATAATATCACTCGCGAGGGTGGCGTGGAAATTTCTTCGATGCTCCACCCCACTGATTCCCGAGTCGCGAACCCAGAAATGCAACCTGTAGGTAGGTTTAGGAAAGATACTCCTTTGCAATCCCTAAAAAACATCCTACCTCGACCTCGCACATTTTGGGATGTCATCCCCTGTGCTGATTCTGAGTCCCTCCGAAAGTCTGGGCAATACCGGGTACTGATTAACTTTCTGTGGTCCACTCACCTCTCTCTCACGCTAGCACCTTCGTTGCCGGAAGACCGTCCTTCCCTTAGCACCAAGGCTGCTCCACCGCATAATCCTTCCTGCGAATACGCACGGACCACTCCTGTTGCAACCGCATACCCAAGCGTCTCCAACGGTACCCCACCGCTCTCCACCACTTCGATTGGCCGTTCCTTCAGCGGCCCTGCGGATTCTGAAGGAAGGAGGGGGCCTCAAGGCATGATTGCTGAGAACAGTGGCACTATGCCCTTGCCTGTCCGAAGGGATTGAAACTGCTGGCGAGAGAGACAGTGGGTCTTCAGGAGGGAGCGTGAGCAAACCCCAAGCCATTATGATCCAGCTATTGGGTATTCTACAGCAGCAGCAGCAAACATCGCTCATGTAGAAGCAAACTTCAAGAGGTGCTTCAAGAGCCTTCACCACAGACCTCCCAGCAGACATAAAACCAGAAGGAACCAGCCTATGGGCTGAAAGACACGCAGCACAACAGCATACAGACGAAGCTAAAGAACGGCCCCTAGCAGCACAACAGTCAGCAGCAATCATTCCGCAGCGTGGAATTTTTTCCCCATCTGCTTATAACCCCACTGCCTCGTCCCCACGGCCGTCGTTTCCGCTTGCCTTTTCAACTAAAATCTCCATAGAACTTTCGGCACCGAGACATGCACTGCACGGATCGATAGGCCCTGCGGCTGCTTCATGCCCAGCGCCTGTCTTATCCCCACAGAATACCTCCACTCATAGACAGTTTCCTGCACCCGCCACAACGTCTCTTCTCCGCTCATTTGCATCCATGCAGCATGCTCCTGGCCAGTTATTTTCTGCTGATTCTTTGCCAATGGCTGTGTCTTCACTGCTGCCTTCCCAGTCCTCTCACGCTCAATCGCTCTTGCCAACGTTTCCTGCGGTTTTCGCCCCACCTGCTGGACTGCATGAGAGTTTTTCTACTCTGATTTCTTGGCAAGGGTGGCAGCAGCAGTAGCAGCAGCAGCAGCAGCAGCAGCAACAGCTACATCATAACCAGCAAAACCAACAGCAGGTGCAACCAATGTGTCAGCAGAATGAGCATCAGGAGCAACAAGAGCATCAGCAGTGGGAGTGGCAACAGCAATGCCATCGATTGCAACAGCAGCAGCAACAGGAGGGGAAGCAGCAGCAACAACTGCAGGACCAACAGGGGTGGCGGCAGATGGAGCATCAGGAGCAACAACAGCATCAGCAGTGGGAGCAGCAACACTAGACTCAGCAGCAGCAGTAGCAGCAGCAGCAGCAGCAGCAGCGACAGCACCAGCAAAGAATCATACATGCGATCCTAAAATTTAGTACCGTTGGGGAACCTTCAGAAGCCTCAAGAAGGACAGGATTCCCAAATATAGAAGCTTTGCCAAATATTGACGTGCATCGGGGAGTCCACGCACGAGCAGAAAGAGAAACACTCTCTGGTGCAAGAGCAGCAGCTTTGCCTGCCCTGCCTGCTCTGGGACCAGAATTCAGGTGCAAAGGGACTTCTGAGGCAGGTGAAGACGGGTTAGACACTCCTTCATTGCCCGATTCGGCCGCATTTATAAAAATAGCAGGCAGTGGAAGGGGTGGAGCAGGTGAACAAGGCAGAGAGGAGTCAGCTGGTGGGTTGTCGAAAGGGGTTGTGGCGTCTGAGGGAAACACAGAAAGTGGAAGACGGCGTGAAAGCGATGTTGGAGGAGAGAGAGAAGGGAGACGAGGGATGGGAGGGAGAGAAAAGATAGAAGGATTAGGAGGAACACGGGGGATACAAGGAATAGTAGGACAAATAGAAACTGGATCCAAAGTAGATCTGGGGAAAGGTTTGACAAGGTCCGTGAGAATCTTAATGGAAGCAGCCGAAGGAGCAAGCGAACGTATGAACGTCTCTAATCTCCTCAAGTCTCAGTCCTTGGCCCTTTTTACTCCAGCTTTCGGAACGATCAGCGGCACAAGGGTTCTGAACAGAGGCACAAAGTCAGGCACAAGCTCAGGTACTGCTGTAGCAGAGCAGGGAGGAGGACCCCCTTTCCCACCAGGAAGACCTGCCCTGGGAAGCATGAGAGATGCATGTGGCAGTGTGAAAGACGGGTTGTTCAAGTGTGAGAGCATTGAAACTCCTGACACGTCTCAGAGGCATGGTCTGGGAAGTAGGAGAGATGCGAGCAGTGGTGTGAGAGATGGTCTGCACAGGGAAGATCTTGACCTCTCCTTGTCACTGTTCCTGTCTCCTGCTCCTGCTGTTCCTGCTCATCCTCCTCCTAACTCTGCTGCTGATCCTGCTGCTACTGCTTCTTCTGTCTGTTCTGCTTCCCATGGTGCTGTTTCTCCTGTTCCTCCACCTCCTCTTCCTCCTCCTGCAGCTGATCTTGCTGCTACTGCTGCCTCTGGTCGTCCTGCTTCCAGTGGTGCTGTTTCCCCTTCTCCTCCTCATCCTCCTACCGCTACTGCTAATGCTACTGCTGCTGCTGCCTCTGTCGGTGCTGTTGCACGTGCTGTTGTTTGTCTTGCATCGGCTACCTCACCTGTTGCTGGCCATATTTCTCCAGCTGGAAACCTGTCGCGCATTTCGTTGGTGGATGCAAATACAACTGCTCGTAACGAGACAGCAATGAACTCAGAGGCTTGTCTGCAGACGGATTTTTGTTTTTTTGGGGTAAGTAGGGCCGAGGTTGAGGCCCTTGAGGTGCAGTTGGGCCTTGTGCAGTCTAATACGGCAGTAAGGGAAGGTGGCCGCATAGGAGAGTTAGGAAGATGGGAAAGTGGAGGAGGAGGAGGAGGAGGAGGAGGAGGAGGAGGAGGAGGAGGAGGAGGAGGAGGAGGAGGAGGAGGAGGAGGAGGAGGAGGAGGAGGAGGAGAAAGAGAACTGGGAGGAAGACTAAGAGGAGGAGTGGAAGGTGGTTCTGTTGAGACAGCAAGAGTTAGAAGTGAATCCAGGAATGGAGCAGCCCTTTTACGCATGCAACCACGAACCCCTCTTGCTGCGTCCATGCATGCTCATGCTCTTGTGTCCTCGCATGCCCTCATGCATGCATCCTCGCCTGCTTCCGCTCCTGCTGCTGCCACTGTCAACCTTGCTCCTGCTGCTGCACCTGCCTCTGCTCCTACTGCTCCCACTGCCGTTTTTGCTCCTGCTGCTGGTTCTGCTTCTGCCGCTGCCGCTGTTGCTCCTACTGCTGCCACTGGCGCTGCTACTTCTGCTCCTGCTGTTACTGCTGCTGAAATCACACCTATTGTTCCTGATCCTTCCTCCGCCCCTGGCTCTGCCTCTATTGCTGCCATGGCATCAACACTAGCGGCTAGCCCCCTTCTTGCAGCCCTCCTTTCCCGTCAAGCATCTCGTTGGACCAGCCCACAGCAAATCTCCTCTCAAGCGTCTCACCGTTTCAACTCAGAGCGCAAGCCTGCTCCTGCTGCTGCTTCTCCTGCAGCTCTTGTGGCTGCGACTGCTGCCTCTGCTGCTGCTGCTGCTCCTCCTCCTCCTCCTGCTATTGTTGCTGCTGCTGTAGCTGCTGTTGCTGGTGGTGATGGTGGTGCTTCTGCTTCTGGTGCTGCAGCTGCTGCTGGTTCTGCTGCTGCTGCTCGCGGTGGTGATGGTGGCAGTGCGATTTGCTTTCTGGCGAATCAACAAGTACCAAATTTCTTCAACGCAAAACTGCACTTGCTGCTGTTGCTAATGGTACTGCTGTTGTTGGTGGTGTTGCTACTGATGCTCTCATTCTCACAAAAATAGGTCAAGACAAATGGAAGCGAATGAGTGATGTGGTAAGAGGGGTAGAGATGAGACCTGTAGAGTCTTCAATCCTTTGGAGAAGCAGCGAAGGAGGGAGAGGCAAAAAGAGATGGAGAAAGGAAGAGGAGGGGGATGAGGAGAAGGGGGAGGAGGAGGAGGAGGAGGAGGAGGAGGAGGAGGAGGAGGAGGAGGAGGAGGAGGAGGAGGAGGAGGAGGAGGAGGAGGAGGAGGACGTTAAGGTAGAGCAAAAAGGGTTGAAATTTGGGGTAGGTCAGGTGGGGCCAGGTGAAAGGGAGACCTTGGAAGGAGGTATGGCAGCGAGGGATGGGGTCATGAGGAGAGATGGTGGCAGTGGGTGTGGTGGTGGGCATGGTCAAGGAAAGGGTGGTGAGAATGGTGGTGGTGGTGGGAATGCTGAGGGTAATGGTGGAGGGAAGGGAGGCGGTATGGTTGCTAGCAGTGGGAGTTGGCATAGTGCGTGCAGTGGAGCAGCCTCAGGCAGCAGTGCAAGGAAGAAAAGACCCAAGACGCGTAAAGCCGCTGCGGAAGCAGCTGTAGCCACCGCCAAAGACTCTGCTGCAACTATGCAGATTCCCTCAGATGCTGGTGAAGCAAGCAGCAAAGGTGCATGTGCTGACGCTTTCTCTAATCAACCCACAAGTGGTGACTCAGCCCCGTCTTTCCAATTCAAGCAGCCGGTCGGCAATCGAGAAAAAAAAAAAGGACAAAAACCGGTACCAGGGGGTGCGGCAGCGGCAGTGTGGGAAGTGGGTGGCGGAGATCCGATTTCCCAAGAAGAAATCCCGTGTATGGCTTGGGACGTTCACCTGCCCGGAAGCAGCTGCCCGAGCGTACGATCGGGCAGCGGTGAAACTGCGTGGGCCCCGAGCGTTGACGAATTTTCCGGATGAGTATGAGAATTGTTGGAATGCGGCAGAAGATGGGTTGTTGGGGTTTAAGGGAGTGGAGGGAGATGAGGGAGTGGAGAAGGGGGAGACGAGGAAGGGTGAGGTGGGTAGTAAAGGGGACAGTGCGGCAGATAGAGGGGAGGGAGGGAAGAGTGCGGAGATAGATACCTTTGGAGAGGGGGAGGATGAGGGAAGGGGTAGTGGAATGCAGAAGGCAGCACACGAGGGAGAGGGTGGGGAGCAAGGCTGAAGGAAAAAGGGCGTGAGGGGAGATGGATGAGAGTGGTAACGTTGATGGGGTGGAGGAGAGATGGATGTGAGTGCAAGGCAGAAGGCAGCAGATGAGTGAATGGGCGTAGAGCAGGGTTGAAGTGGGCTTGCCGTATCCACTGGGATGTGATTGTAAGGGGTGATGGGTAGGAGGGCGACGAGTGGAAGACAGAAAACAGGTGGGGGAGGAGGGTGAGGGGCAGAACAGGTGTGGAGTGAAGCAATAAAGTAGGTTGACGGGGCACGCTGCAGTCAATCAGAGGAGTGGAAGGCAGAAGGCTGGAGATGATGGAACAAGGTGAGAAGCAGTGCTGAAGGAAAAAGGGAGTGATGGGGACGAAAGGAATGTAGATGTTAGTGGTAAGGGTAATGGAGGGGAGTTGGCACTGGAAGAATAGCATAAGGGGGAAGGAATAAGAAGTGTAATGGAGGGGAGTGGGCAATAGAAGGGCATGGAAGGAGAGATAGCAATGGAAGGAAAGCAGAGAGTAGGGTGTCAATGGAATACAGTTTGAATCCGTCTTGTTCTCGGCTGAACTGCAAAGGAAGCATCTGGACAAAAAGGCCAATCGCTTTTGCTATGTTGGCAAGAGTGGATCAATGCAGCTGGAGTGTGGCGAAGACAGGAATCCACTGAACGTGAGGAATGGTTCTAGCTGCAGTGGCGGTGATAGTGACAGAGACTTCAAAAACTGATTCTAGATCTAGAGGAGTGGATGGATCCTGCTGATACTGAGACTTGAATCACTGATGCTGCTGGAATGGATAGATGCTGCTGGACTGTGTAGGCGGATTAGGGACTGGAAAGCTTCATGACTGGATTCATCGTTGCTGCTTTTGCCACTTCAACACGGGTAGCCAAGGGTTGAGGAATGCAGCTGGATTGTGGTGGTGGTAAAGAGAATGAAAAGCTAGGTGATGAGCCTAGCAAAAGAGTGTGAAGGGTGTGCGATAGAGAGTGTGAAGGGATGGTGGAGAAGAGAGTGTGAAAGGGTTGTAGGCAAGAATTTGAAGGGGTGGTGGTGGAGTGTGAAGGCATGGTGAAGGAGAGTGATGGGATGGTTTTGGAAAGTGCACGGGTTGAATCAAAGACAATGTATTACAATAGGATGAGAAGTGGTGAAATGGTAATGCAGGGCATGTGATACTGAAACATGTTTTTATGAGAAGAATGTATCTGCTGTTGAGCGCTGACACGATTTGTACTTAGTCACGAGTGTAGCACAGGCCCTTCATCAGTTCCCCCCCCCCTCCCACAAATCATGTCCTACTCACTGCCAGCCCCAACTTTAAACCTTTTATCGTGAATCTAGCAAAAATTGGGTATGAGGAGTTGGCCGGGATAAGATTAGAATACGAAGGAAAAGCTCGACAACTGTTAACATGAAGTTGAGAGGATATTGTAAAGTGCCAAAGGCTGGTATATGGAGCATGGGTGGGGTGGGGTGGTGTGTGGTTCGGGGTGGAGAAAAGGGTTGGAGTTCGAATTTTGAGTGAGAGTGGAGGTTTTGGATGAGTTTGACACCACGGGAATATATATTTTTAGCATCACATATTATTGTGATTCTCTTTACATGTTTTGTACATGCTCTAGGGAATATACCTGATACGTGCCACCCTCCAATGCACATCTGCCAGCATAGTCAAACACGTTGCCCTAAAAAATCATGTTAACCATTCTTTACCTCTTCTCATCCTTGCATATGCCCATCCACAATCCCAGAAGCTCTTCAACTCCTCCACAAACCCTTCCACTCTACAAACCCTTTCACTCTCTCCGATACTTGCATCTTAAAGCAGCAGTACACATTTGGCAGGGAGAGTGCCAAAAGTTTATAAATGGTACATGGTGGGGGCGAAATTGTGGGGCACACTGTAAAACCCCGAACCCCGCTGCCAAATGTACACTGCCACTTTAACCAGCTTTGCATTCCAAATTAATGGGTGCGACCAGTTACTTATGCAGCCCATCACTCACTCGCGAGTGCAACTCACGGTTGCAAGATATCACTTCTACTTCAACCATTTCACAGCCATCCACTCTCCATGCAAACTCATACATACACCATGCAGACTCATCCATATGGTATACACAATAGTCCATACGCCTTTCACACTCATCCACATGCCATGCACACTCATCCATACACCATGGACGCTCATCCACATGCCCTTCACAAGGATGCACATCAATCTCATCCTCATCAACCCCCCTCCCCTTTCGCTCTCCGTTTTCCCTTCAGCCCTGCTCATTGTTCTTCCCCTCGTGTGCTGCCTTGGGCCTTCCACTCCCCTCCCCTCATCCTCACCCTCTCCAGTCATATGCTTCCCCCCATTCCTCCCTCCTTGCTCTTCATCTGCCTCACCCCCCCACATAAACCCCACCTCATCCTCCCCCATCTCCCGCTTCTCCACTCATTCCCCCCCCTTAGACCCCATCAAGTCATCTTCTGCCCCATTCTGCCGATTCTCATACTCATCCGGGAAGTTTATCAACGTTCTGGGCCCACGCATTTTCACTGCTGCCCGATCGTATGCCCGGGCAGCCTCTTCCGGGCAGGTGAACGTTCCAAGCCAAAGGCGAGACTTCTTATTCGGCAATCGGATCTCCGCCACCCACTTCCCATAGTGCCGCTGCCGCACACCTCGGTACATGTTTTTGTCCTTCTTTGCTCGCTTGCCGACCACCGGTGTGGATGGAAAAACACGATCTGAATTGACACCTTTTGGTTGATCAGGGGAAGGATGACCAGGTGCACCGTTGCTGCTGGCTTCACCACCATCCGAGGGAATCTGCATAGTTGCAGCAGCGTCTCTGGTGGCTGTTACAGGTGCTCCCAGAGCTGCCGTTGCTGCCTTTGTCGTTTTCTGCCTTGCTCTGCCGCCCGAGTGTGCTATGCTGCACCAACTACTATGCCCTCTCCCAGTCCTGGCAGACATACCACCTACGTCTCCCCCGTGATTCCGCCCACCATTTGCACCACCATGTGCCCCATCACCACTCCCACTACCACCATTTCTCCTTGTATCCCCATGCACCGTGGCCAGACCTCCTCCCAATGCCTCCCTTGCAACTGACCCTTGGACTATCCTCACTGGCAAGCAATTTCTCTCTACCTCAGATTCCGATTCTTCCTCCTCCTCTTCTTCCTCCCCCCCCTCTTCCTCCTCATCTCTCCCTCTCTTCTTACCCCTATCTTGTTCGTTTCTTCTCCAAAAACCCCCCACTTGACCATCCGGCCTTAGATAATCCACAGACCTCCCCTCTCCCCCGCTTGTCGCATCTCTTATACCCTGCCTGTTGACCTGCCTTGCCTCGCTTTTCCAAACTTCTCCTGTGAAGAAAACATTGCCAGCAGCAGTACCGGAATCACCAGAAGCAGCACCAGCAGTGGCACCAGCAGCATCGGCAGCAGCACCAGTAGTACGAGCAGCTGCAGCACCAGTTAGTGCAAGCTGTGCATTGGAAAGATGAGGTGCTTGGCGAATCAAACTGAACAAATTAGCACCGCCACCACCACCACTACCCACACCACCACCGCCAACAACATCAGCAACAGGTGCTGCAGCATCAACAGTATCTGGAGCAGCACCAGCAAGCGCGAGCTGTGCGTTGAAGCGATGAAATGCTTGGTGATTCGCCAAAACGGGAATAGCACTACCATTATTGTCAGCAATAGGGGCTGCAGTATCAGCAGCATCAGGTGAAGAAACAGCAGAAGCAGCATATGCAGGTTGTGCATTGACGACATCAGGTGGTCTTCGATTCACCAAAACGGGACTAGCACCGCCGCCACCACACTCGTCAGCAACAGGGGCTGCAGCAATTTTTTTGTTGAAGATATCAGGTGCTTGACAACTCGCCAAAACGGGACTAGCACCACCACCACTGCCGTCAGCAACAGAAGCAGGAGAAGCCGAAGCAGAAGCAGCAGCAGCAGCAGCAGCAGCAGCAGCAGCAGCAGGAGCAGCAGCAGCAGCAGCAGCAGCAGCAGCAGCAGCAGCAGCAGCAGCAGCAGCAGCAGCAGCAGCAGGAGGAGGAGGAGGAGGAGGAGGAGGAGGAGGAGGAGGAGGAGGAGGAGGAGGAGGAGGAGGAGGAGGAGGAGGAGGAGGAGGAGGAGGAGGAGGAGGAGCAGCAGCAGCAACAGAAGCAGGTTTATACTCTAAGTTGAAAGGATGAGAAGCTAGAGAGGAGATCTGCGATGGGCAGCTGGTCAAGTGGGATGCTTGATGGGAGAGGAGCGCTGCAAGCAGGGGGCTATCTGCAACTGCTGATGCCATGGCCGCAGAGGCAGAGCAATCAGAAGAAGCACCAAATCCAGAGGAAGGAGGAGGAGGATGAGGAAGAGTAACTGGATTGATCACAGCAGCAACAGCAGCAGTAGCAGGAGCAAAAGCGGTAGTGTCAGGAGCAGCGCCAGGAGCAATGGCAGGATGTACAGTAGAAGCATAAGCGGCAGCAGAGCCAGGAGGATCAGAAGCAGGAGCAGGCACACTTGATGCAACGGCTGTGGGCAGATGAGCATAGGAGCAAGCAGGCATGAGGGAATGTGAGGGCACGAGAGCAAGGGCATGCATGGAAGCAGCTGGAGGGGTACCTGGTTGCCTGCGGAATGGGCTGCTCCATTCCTGAACTCACTTCTGGCAACCCTTTCTGCTAGTATCTCAACAGAACCACCCTCCACCCGTCTTGACCCTCCTCCCAAACTAACTTTTCCTCCTTCTCCGTTCACCCCTCCTTCGGACATCAACTCTTCTCCTCGTCTTCCACATCTCCCTGACTCCCCTATGCAGCCTCCCTCCCTCTGTACAGCTTCAAATCGCTCAAGGCCCACCCGCATCTCACATGTCTCAGGCTCAGCTTTAGTTACCCCCTGCAGGGGTATCCCCGCTGGCTGATCAGCCTTCGAGTTCTTGGCTGCCTAAAAACCTGCTGCCGCACTTACTCTCATAAGATGACTTTCCGCATGTTTGTCAGCCGTAGTAGTATAACAAGCTGCTGGTGAGGCAGGAGAAGCAGGAGAAACAGCACCAGGGGCATCAGGATTGACAGTGGCAGCAGCAACAGCAGCACCAGCAGGAGCAGGAAAACCATTATCATCATCAGCAGCAGTAGCAGCAGTAGCAGGAGCCGGAGCCGGAGCCGGAGCCGGAGCAGGAGAACGAGCAGCAGCAGCAGGAGCCGGAGCAGGAGCAGGAGCAGGAGCAGGAGCAGGAGCAGGAGCAGGAGCAGGAGCAGGAGCAGGAGCAGGAGTAGGAGTAGGAGAACGAGCAGCAGGAGCAGGAGGACGAGCGGCAGAAGGAGGAGACAGGGACAGAGATAGGCAAAGGTCCAGGTCTTCCTGGTGAAGGTTCATGCTTTCACGCTCGAGGGACCAATGTTTCACAGCACCACATGCTTCTCTCATGTCTCCCTGGGAGGGTCCTACTGCTGCGAAAGGGCCACGTCCATCCCCGCCTGCTGCAGCAGTAGCCAAGCTTGCTCCAGGGCATGTGTTATGAGCTCTTGGAGTGCAGGCAGGTCTTAAAGCTGGAGTGACAGAGTACTGGGAGTGGACGAGACCTGAGATGCTGAGACTTTTGCTTCCACCTTCTCCTGCTCGTCTTAGACGTTTCGCTAATCTTGCCCCACCTTCCCCAGAATCTGCTGGGGATTTCAGCTTTCCAAATCTTTTGATTCCTCCTACCCCTCCTCTCCCTCCTCCAACATCCCTTTCCTGCACACTTCCACTTTCAGTGTTTCCCTCCACTGTACCCACCCCTCTCAAGAACCCACAAGCTGACTCCTCTCCGCCTTCTGCCCCTGCTCCACGTCCCACTACTCTCAGGAAAGCAGCCAGTTCTGACAATGAAGGCGTTTCTCCCCCATCCGCACCAGCCCCCGCCATCTCTTTGCTCATAGATTGTGGTCCCGGAGAAGGCAGGGCAGCTGAAGCTGCTGCACCTGCAGCAGAGTCTGTTACACTTGCTGCGCTTGCATGAGCTCCCTGATGCACATGTATATTTGGTAAATCTGCTTTATTTGTCGATCCATTTCTCCCTGAGGATTCTGAGGCTGCCCCAGCGATCATTACTATAACAGCAGCTATGAGCCTTCGCTGCTGATGCTGTTGCTGCAGCAGAAGTTGCTGTCGTTGCTGTTGTTGCTCCTGTTGTTGCACGTGCTGTTGCTGCTGCTGCCACTTCTGATGATGCCTCTGTCCCTCCGCATGCACCTGATGCTGCTGCTCCTGCTGCTGCTGCAGCTGATGTCGTCGTTGTTGTTGTTGCTCCTGCTGCTTCGTCTGGTGTTCCTGCAGCTGCTGCTGCTGCTGCTGCGGCGGCGGCGGCGGCGGCGGCTGCTGCTGCTGCTGCTGCTGCTGCTGCTGCTGCTGCTGCTGCTGCTGCTGCTGCTGCTGCTGCTGCTGCTGCTGCTGCTGCTGCTGCTGCTGCTGCTGCTGCTGCTGCTGCTGCTGCTGCTGCTGCTGCTGCTGCTGCTGCTGCTGCTGCTGCTGCTGCTGCTGCTGCTGCTGCTGCTGCTGCTGCTGCTGCTGCTGCTGCTGCTGCTGCGGCTGCTGCTGCGGCTGCTGCTGCTGCTGCTGCTGCTGCTGCTGCGGCTGCTGCTGCGGCTGCTGCTGCTCCTGCTCCTGCTGCTGCTTCTGATTCTGCTGCTGCTGCCGCCGCCGCCTTCGACGCTGCAGCTGCATGTGCCACGCAACCAATGCAGAAAACTCCTCATCCAGTCCAGCAGTTGCAGTGAAAATGGCACACGGCGATAGCAATTGATTGTGAGAGGACTGAGAAAGCGGCAGATTTGAGACAGGCATTGGCGAAGAAGCAGCAGCAAGGGACTGTCCAGGGACGTGCTGTGTGGATGCAAATGGTCGGGGAAGAGAGGGTAGGGTGCGTGCCGAAAATTGTCCATGAGATGGGGTATCCAGTGAGGATAAAACAGGCACTGGGCATGGGGCAGCAGGGCCTAATGATCCGTGCATTATATTTCTTGGTGCCAAACGTCCCATGAAGAGTTGAGGTGAAGAATCATGCGGAAATGAATTAGTCTGTGGGGATGAAACAGGGCGTGTAGCAGCAGGTGGGGGGGTAATTCCACGGTGCGGAAAGATTGTTGCTGACTGTTGTGCTGCTGGCCTTTCAGAAAACACATCTGCAGTTGTCCGTAGGCTGGTTCCACCTGGTTTCTTGGCTGCTGGGAGTGCTGCGGGAAGGGGTGGATCATCCCTTGGAGTATGCAGCTGCAGGATCGATGCATGTTGCTGCTGTTGTTGATTTTTCTGCTGCTGCTGCCGCTGTAGAAATACCAAAAGCTGGACGATAGCTTCTTGAGTTGTGCTCACACTCCCTCCTTGATAGCCGCCTTTCCTCTCACCATGATCAGATTCAACTCCTCCAGGCATGACCAAGGGGCTCTAATAGCGCCGCTGATTTCAGAAAACGTTCCTTTCGTAGTCTTGATTTCAGAAATCATTCGACGATTAATAGACTCCGCGAAGAATCCGCGTGCGCCCAGTCTGCTGGAAAGCTCAAGACTATCAGTAACACTGTCAGTAATTTCAAGCAGCCTGTCGTGGTGCATATCTCTGGTTCCTTATGAGGCTGTGACTACGTTCATCACGAAGCCACCCCAATGATGCCTGTTGGACTTACTGAATTGACAAAATCCCGATACAGTACACAACAGTAGGTCAACGCAGGTTCAAAACAAAATGCACAGCTACACATGATGCTCAATCCCTGTGCGCGAATTACCCTGTTCCGGATAGAAAGTATGCACTCGAGTTTTTTGCGCCAGCTAGTTGAACCCACTTTACAAGCCTCCCGAGCAAGTTGCCAAAAATATCGACAGAAACCGAAGTCAAAATGGAAAGACCGAAGTCAAACTGTCAACGAAGAGTTACAATACTTTTATAAACCCTTTTTGGCTTGGTGCGAATTGACGAAGATTCACTTCAACGCTCAAAGAGTAAGGAAACAGCTGTCTCCTCAAACGAGCATCATTTGTACTGCGGTCATACTTTTTCGTGGTTTGACATGGTTCGGTCTCACCGTTTCAGACCATTGCGCACAAGGATAAAACCTCGGAAAAAGAGATGAGGGCAAAGAAGCTGACTCCAGCAGGTGCCAGTCGTCAACGTTGTGCTTCAAAGAGAAGGGACGGCCATTTTTCGTTTGAAGGCATTGACACGCGCAACAAGCCGGGTGGAGGCCGGGCAAAATCGTGTGTGCTGTGCATCAGACATTGGGCCGTGAAAATAATTGTCAACACTTCCTTGCAAGCTGGTGACTCATTCAAAGGTGACGTGTCATGTCAAACCTTTGGGAATCCAAACAGCACCCCTGGACTTCCCGTCCAGCTTCTGGTCAGAGGTGTTGACTGTAAGCTACAGAGCTGCACCACGCCATCCAAACACTCGCGAGACACTGGTCAAAAGCCCTTCCAACGGTCCAAGCATTTCTCCATACGTTCGTGATGCGCGCATGTCCACACGATGAGGGAGTTCTACAGAAAACGGGATTGTGGACGATGTGCTCTAACTCTCGTCATTGGCTGCGAGAAGTGCAAAACAGCTACATCGTTGACCAAAAACTTCAGGCCCAGATTGACCACAGCCCAGCTGGGTTGACTGTGCACGGGCGTTCACAGAGTTCCTTGATACACTCGATGCTCGTTCGACTTACCCAAAGTTGCCTTGTAAAGAAGGCTTTTAAATTTCATCAACGTTGCACCTAGCAAAAAGGGGCTTTTAAAAACATTATCACTCCTCGTCGACATTTTGACTTCCATCTCTTCTTTGTAACTTCAGTTTCTGTGGTTCTTATTGGTTCATAACCACTGCAACTTGCTTGAGGGGCTTGTGATGGGGGTGCAACTGGCTGGTGAAAATAACACGGGTGCAGACTTTCGATTTTTTGTAGAGCAAACTTGCGCGCAGGGGTTGAGCATCTTGTGTACAATGAAATGCGGCAACTGCATTATGACGATGATTTATTAGAATTCTCTAAATAAACCATAGCGAACCATAATCTAACCACCCTAACCATGCTATTCTAACAATGATGTGGGTATAACGAAATCAACAAAAGCGGAAAACAGGGTGGATTCTATGTACAAAATAACTCACAGATAAAAATTTTCTAACTTGTCAGCATGCCAACGGCAGGCACGGCCACGAGAAACAGACCATAGTTAACAATCCCACAATAAAACACAATGGTTACCGTATATAATTACCGCCTATAAGCTATACTTGATTTTAGGTAAAACACAAAGACCGAAAAAAATATGGGTGTCATATGACGTTCAGTTCTAAAGAGCACGTACCATATCTATCTGAAGTGTGAGTAAGGAACAAAGCGTTGTCTGGAAAGAGACAAACAATATAGGGGGCATCAACAACATGAGTTAGAAAAAATATGGTGGCAGCTGTTGGCGGGTATTAGCCTCGTACTCGCTTGGGCGAAGCCGATTTCGCAGTCGGGTGCGCGGGAGGTACAACCGACTGCCCGCAGAATTCGACGCCGACTGACCGCAGAAGTCGACGCAGACTTAGGCGAGCAGGTCGACGAAGTTGGTCGACCTGCGTTGAACTTTTACAAATCCGTCGACGAGGGAGGTCGACGGCCGACATCTACCTGGGTGGTTGACGGTATTGAAGGTCGGGCAGATTTTGTTTGAAGGGACCTGGTCGAAGAGCCCATAGAGAGGCGCTGTTCGATGGAGCAGCAATGAACCGGTCGCGGGAGGCTGCTCTGCTGCGAACCTGGGAGAAGCGCGAGTTTTGCTTCAGCGAGCTTTGGCGAAGTCGACCTTTGGGCTGGTATCTCAGAAGTTGGCGTGGAGCATCTGGAGCGATCGTCGAGCACGTGGCCGACTTGGCATCTACGCAACGGGCGGGACGAGGCACAATGTGCTCGACTGACTATAAAGTATCAGCGAAGCGGGTGTGCATGTGCGCTGCAGTCATATGCGGTTGCAACGCTGGCTAGCCACTTTACTGCGGCGTTGGCAAGCCGCACAGATGAAACGCTGGCAGGTCGTCGACTTGCAGAGTTGGCAAGTCGCCACCCACCTGCGTTGGCAGGCTGTCAACTTGCCCTGCTGGTAGGTCGCCTCGTTGTTGCGCTAGAGGTTGACCTACCTGGTCGCTATGCTGCTAGGCCCAGATGTTGTCACGTTGCCATTCCTTTATTTTTCATTCAGTATTCCCAGCTTATATAGTGAAACTCTTGCCAATTCTTGGTGTAAACACACAAGTCACGGAGAACGCTAGTACAAGCTACAATCACTCTTATTACCTGTGTGTTCCCCCGTCGTCTAGCTCCCATTGTTGAATGATTCTCCGTATGGTGCGGTGAGCGTGGACGGCCCTACAAATTACCTTCAGATAGTAGCCGACTTTTGCATCACCAAAGTCGTTCGTAGGCCGGAAGCATGTGCAGACCATGACGCCTACCCCGGAAGAGCATACAGCCGTAGAGGATTGTCTGGACGCACGATTAGCTGATGCTAGGAGATGCCATACGACTGGCAAGTATAGGACGGTCCCCATAGAGGTGCTCCACTTGGTAACTCGTCTGCAGTGGGCGCGCAAGCATCCGACTCACCGTGCTGAAGCGGATGGAGTGTTCGCCTCACCTCGACAGGCACGCAACGAAGGCGACGACGACAAGCGGGTCGACGGTGACCAAGTCGGTAGCAACGATGGCACGAGGATGACGAGAGGGGTGATAAGGAAAGCCAGCGTCGAAGTCGGCGGTATGCGGACGCAAGTGCTGCGGTCAACGGCGGCTGCAGGCAGCTCACATAGCGACGTCAATGGTCGACGCCGATCTCCCCAGCGAAGCAACATGAAGCCGATGTCGACGACCCATGTGATGGCGGGCGGGATCGACCCGCCGTACGGCTACTTCATATTTTTTTGCCGGTCAAGATTGCCGTGCTTGTGCTGCTGGAAGGCCGACGTGACCTTATAACATGGAGGGAGTCGATCAAGCCCCAGCTGTATATCGCCGGGCTGAAGGGTTTCGCCGACGGTAACGTGCCGACACTAGACAAGGACAACATCGAGCTGCGGGCGGAATTCCGCACGGCTCACCTGCTGACTTTCATGGTCATCTATCGCTGTTGCTCGCTAATGGTGCAGATTGCTCTGAAGCCATATCAACTTCGTCTGGACGCCGGTCACCAGGCGTGGCGGCTCATCATGTCGACGTACCAAGCGATCGACGACCTGTCCATCGGCCAGCTGGAGGAGCGCTTGACTCACCTCTGGATGGGTGTGTTGAACAAGGAATGGAATGACTAAGAATGAAATGAGTACAAATATGGAAACCTAGAAGTGTGTACCCCCTATAGGCTAACCCACTGTAGCCTACACAACTACAACAATATATAATGTTTGACACACCCCCATAGGCGAAGTGGGGGAGAACTAGGGGTCACAAGACCAGTCAAGTAAAGCAAAGCAAAGCAAGCTCAGGGTGGATCACAATGTCACCACACAATCCGAGTACAAGTTCAAGGCCACAAGGCCAGTTCAAATGCAGGAGTACATATATATATAAGACTAAACAAGCAAGAGCAGTGATATATATATGTAACAGTACAAAGAGGGTCAAGAGGAGAGCAAGTGAGGCAGGTTAGACACAAGACCCAGCTGGGTACAGCAGCGCTGATGATCACAAGGCGCAAGTGCCTTGGTGAAAACATCAGCAGTGTTGGCCTCAGAGGCCACGTACGCAAGTCGCAACTGACCACGCTGCTGTAGCTCACGAGCAAGGAAGTAGCGGAGAGCAATGTGCTTTGTTCTGTGCTCCAGTCTCTGCTCTCGACACAAGGCCAGCATGGCCTTGTTGTCGACGTACAGGACTGGAGGAGAACGAGGCGGCTCTCCAAGGTCGGTCAGCAGGTAGGTGAGCCAGCGAAGCTCCTGAGCAGCCTTGGCCCCTGCGTAGATCTCACCCTCACAACTGGAGC